GACTTTTTCAGTATGTCTTTGAAACGCAGGCCCTTCAATCTGAGTTCTCAACCAACACCTGCTCCTTTCATATTTCAAATCTCAGTCCCATGAATGACAAAGGAAGAGAAAATTCAATATACAGAAACAGTTCATCAGGCACTATCCCCAGGCAGCCAGACTAGTACCCTGGTGTCAGAGTGAGGATGCACTGGATGGAGGAAACCCTTCCCTTCCTGTTGTTGCTACCCCAGCCTGAGGATGGGATCTTGCTTTCTGTCAATCAGCTATTCTGTACAAAGCATATGGCGGCTATTTCCTCATTTATTCTAGTAGGGAGGGTGCCTGACCAATCAAGCCTATTGACCACAGGTTTCCAAGTCAAGAGACAGTCTCATACAAAGACAGCAGAGTGATGAATCTTTTTTCTCTCTTGTCTTATTTCTAACACTAAAAATCCTTTCTCTCTACATAGTTAGGAGAAGGGTTGAATTTGAGCAGAGATCAGTTCCTTCCACCACTCCTACCTCTGCTAACTCAAGGACTCCTGTGCTTAGAAACAAAGTAAGAGCATTCACAACTGTGTGTATATATATATGTGTGTGTGTGTGTGTGTGTGTGTGTCTTTAAAGACATATGTTTTTAAACATACACGTGTACCCCACAGTGTTCTACGACTTAGCTACATACACGTGTACCCCACAGAAGCCACTCCTCTGTGATTCATCAGCTAAACTGACCCAGCATGAGCACAAACACAACAAAAAACTGTGAGGTCTAATTTACTGAATCAGAAGTTTTTCCCTAAACTTCCTTTTCTCACTCTAGCCTTTTCTTTTTCTTGACTTAAAAGAATGCTTGAATAAAATGATTTTTCACTAAATATTTCTTAAATAATAGATACTGATATCTTCTATATGACTACTGCTGTGAATATACACAATGTCCATTTTAAGTATATCATGAAGTAATCTGTGTCATATTTGAATGGTTGGTACCTAGTTGATGGAACTACTTTGAAAGAAACTAGGAGGTGGCCTTGTTGGAGAAGGTGTGTCACTAGGGCTGTGCTTTGAGGTTTCAAACACCCACACCAGGCCCGGTCTCTCTGTAATCTCTCTCTTCCTCTCTCTCCTCCTCCCCTTCTACCCAAGCCCCACCTCCAACTTGAGATTCAAGTGCTGGGCTACTGCTCCTGTTTCATGCCTGCCTGTCATGGTGGTCATGGACTCACCCTCTGAAACCGCAAGCAAGTCCCCAATTAAATACTTTCTTTTGTAAGTTGCCTTGGTCATGGAGTATCTTCGCAACAACAGAACAGTAACTAAGACAATTATGTTATACAGATAAATAGTTTTAGAAAGTCAAGTAACCTAGGGCAGTTTTATTTCCCCTACACATGTCTTTTGAAAGTGATAGTTTCTCCTTCAGTAATCACTACTTATCTATGAAAAATAAAAACAGCTCTGACAATTTGCTGCCAACATTGGGCAAGAAATAAATTTGTACTGATCTGGCTTAATTTATTATGGAAATCGAGAAATAAGCCACATCCATCTCCTTAGGAAACCCCATGCGGTATCTGCAGTTCCCTGTGCCAGGGATTTAATCTTCCTGCCTATTTTATAAGATGTTTTATCTTTAAAGAAGCCAATGGATCCAGTTCAAAAGCTAACTAGAGGCAGATGAAGAACTAAAATCCAGTTTGGACTGTTAGAAAGGCTGTGTTTTGAAATTTCATCTCCTATATAGAAAATGTAGAATGTCTGGGAGGTTCTTAATAAAGATAGCTAAATAACTTTGCTAGTTCTAGGTATAGAGCCTACTACCTTTTAACTTTCTTTTTTGACTCATTATGTATTCTTTAAACTTTTTTTGTATAGTAAGGAAAATGTGGGATCTTTCCTAAATAAAGCCAATTTCTAAGAAAAATAACACCAGTTCAAATGAGTACCCCAAAATCCAACTCTATTTGAGTTTCAAAACACGCATACCCCACAACCCCACAAACGGTGTTTCCATTTCAAGAGGGAAAAGACTGAGGATCTAAGGAGGATGCTTTGGAAGGAAAGAAAACAAGATGGAACAGGACAAAGCACATCCCAGCACACAATAGGTGCCCTAATGTATCATCTAGTTCCTAATGCCTCAACCCACCTGATGCTTCTATCTTTAGAACCATAGGCCATCACTATGAACATGCCCTAAGCAAAAACTATGTGAAGAAAAACTTATAACAGCATCACCTAGGAAAAAGGAAAACTAGAAAGTCTAAATTTAAGTTCAATCAATAAATTATAAATATCAGAAAGAAACATAGGAATTTATTTTAGAAAATAGAAACTAAAGGCTATAACCATCATAATGTTTCTTTGCTTTAAGTTACTTGAGTGTATATGTATGTTCATGTGTGCAGATACATATGTGTGCATGTGGAGATACAACAGAGGACAACCTCTGCTATCATTCCTCGGGTACCGTCCACATGTTTTTGGTTTGCTTTTGAGATGGGGTCTCCCATGACCTGGAACTAATGAGCAGGCTAGGCCCACTGGGCAGTGAGTGCCAAGGGTCTGTCTGCGTGTCTCTCTCCAGCACTGGGATTGTGACACACACTAATATGCCCAACTCTTTTAACTGGGTTCAGGAGATTGAGCTCAGACCATCACGGTGCAAGACAAGTACTCAGACTGAGCTATCTCTGCAGCCTGAAGACTGAGCTTTCTACACAGCTCTACTTCTTAGCCACCTCTTTCATCTAACAATTTTCTTTACTTTCAAAGTAAAAAGTACCTCACACATCTTCTTTTCTCTGCTTCCTTCTTTGTTCCTGTTCTTGGTTTTTTTGAGACAAGTCTTACTATACAGCTCTGTGTGGCCAGGAACTTGTTATGTTTAAGTTCAGGCTGGCCTTGAGCTTATATCATCTTCCTGCCTCTGCTTCCCAAGAGCTGAGATTGTGATGTGCACCACCATGCCCAGTGTCAAAATATTTTCTTAAAGGTGCAAGTGATGTCATTGACCACAGGGACATAGTGATGTCACTGACTTCAGGGAAGTAGTCTGTTTATAGGAAATCATGCAGTGCGCAGTATGACAAATTGGGAAGTTGAAGCCATATTCAGACTATAAAAAAGTAGACACTAAAGGTATCCCAACTCATTAGGATGTATGATGAAGCAGGCTTTTACCTCATATTTCTAGTGAAGAAAAGTCTGCAGAGATAATGGGGCCTGTAATTTTAAAAGGACACCACAAATGGAAAAGGTATTTACATTATAATGAGGTAACCCTCTTTTACTATGCCAGTGCTATACTTAATGAGGCACAAATAGTTTCTGATTTACCAGCATACATAAAATTCTTTAAAATTAATATAGAGAATATAATCTAAAATCCTGTCCTAATTTTTCACTGAAAGAAGAATACAAAGGTGTAACCCTATAATCCTAGGGCTCACAAGGATGAGGCAAAAGAATTGTCTTGAGTTCCAAGGTCAGCCTAGGATAGGGAATGTGTTCTAGGACAGCCTGAGAGAGAGAGAGGGAGGGAGGGAGGGAGGGAGAGAGAGAGAGAGAGAGAGAGAGAGAGAGAGAGAGAGAGAGAGA